ACTGCATCAAAAAGAATAAAATACCTAGCAATAAATTCAACCAAAAAGTTGAAAGACCTGTATATTGAAAACTGTAAGATGTTAATGAAAGACATAGAAGAGGACACAAATAAATGGAAAGACATTCCATACTCGTGGATTGGAAGAATCCATATTGTTGAAAGGTCCATACTACCCAAAGCTCCTTGTCATCAGTCAAAGCTCCTTGACATCAGTCTTGGAGATATTTTTTTTGGATTTCACACCATAAGCAAAGGCAACAAAAGCAAAAATAAACAAGTAAACAAGCAAACATCAACCTATATGGCTTCTGCACAGCAAAGGAAAGCATCAACAAAATACAAAGGCAACATACCAAATGGGCAAAAATACTTGCGAATCATATATCTGATAAGGCATTAACAGCCAAAATATATAAAGAGCTCATACGACTCAATAGCAAAAAAAAAAAAAAAAGTCCAATGAGAAACTGGGCAGAGGAACTGAATAGACATTTTCTCAAAGAAGCTATACAGATGGCAAACAGGTACACAAAAAGGTGCTGAACAGGGACGCCTGGGTGGCTCGGTCAGTTGAGCATCCAACTCTTGGTTTCAACTCAGGTCATGATCTCAGGGTCCTAGGATCCAGCCCTGTATCAGGCTCTGCGCTCAGCAGGAAGTCTGCTCAAGGATACTTTCCCTCTCCCCCTGCCCCTCCCCTCCGCTCATGTGCACTTGCACACACACACACTCTCTCTCTCTCTCATCAATCAATAAATCTTTTTTAAAAAGGTGCTGAACATCACTAATCATCAGGGAAATGCAAATCAACCCAACTGAGATTTCACTTCACATGTTAGAATGATTACTCTCAAAAAGACAAGAAATAACAAGTTGGATATGGAGAAAAGGGAACCCTCGTGAACTGTTGGTTTGAATGTAAATTGATGTAGCCACTATGGAAAAACTATGGAGGTTCCTCAAAAAATTAAAAATAGAACTTCCCTATGATCCAGCAATTCCACTGGATATTTATCCAAAGGAAATGACTAACTCAGAAAGATACATGCACCCCTATGTTCACTGCAGCATTATTTAAAATAGCTAAAACATAGAAGTAAACTAAGTGTCCACTGATGGACAAATGGATAAAAAAAATGTAATACACACACACAATTTAATATTATCAGCCATATAAAAGAAGGCAATCCTGCCATTTGTGACATGGATAGACCTTGAGGCCATTTTGCTAAGTGAAATAAGTCAGAGAAAGACAAACACTGTATGATCTCACTTATATGCGGAATCTAAAAACAAACAAAAAAACAAAAAAAACAACAATTAAAAAACCAAACTCACAGACAGAACATATTGGTGGTTGCCAGAGGCTGGAGGTGGGGATGGGGTGAAATGGATGGAAGTGGTCAAAAGGTACAAACTTCCAGGTGTAAAATAAATTAAGTCCAGGGGATATAATGTACAGCATGGTGACAACTGTTAACAATACTGTCTTATACATTTGAAGTTGTTAAGACAGCAGATCTTAAAAGTTCTCATCAGAAGAAAAAAAAATTGTATAACTGTGCAGTGATGGATGTTAACTAGACTTATTGGGGGTGATCGTTTCACAATATTTACATATATCCCATCATGTTGTACACTTAAAGCTAATCTAAAATTATATGCCAATCATATCTCAATTTAAAAAATATTTTTAAAACCCTACCACAAAAATTGTGGGAAAGACAGGGAGTTATGGAAGAAACAGACAATCATGGGAAACAACAGAGAACTGTGTGAGACAGGGAATTGTGGGAGATCATAAAAAATTGTGGGAGACATGGGGAATTCTGGGAAAGGACAGAGAATTGTTGGAAAGGGAATTGTGGGACAAACTGGGGAATTGTAAAGGGAGGAATATTATGAGAGAGCAAAGAATTGTGAAAGAGTGGAGAATTGGGGAGAGATGGGGAATTATAAAAGAAACAGGGAATTATGGGGGGGAAGGAGAATCATGCAGAAGACATGGAATTGTGGGAGCTCTAAGAAGTACAAAAGCAGCACTTTGTAAACATAAGCAACTGTAGGTTTGGAAAGGAGACTTATTTTACAAGAACCAGTCATAAATTCAGTTTGTAATTACAAAAGCCCTTCAATTTTTCTTCTCTGCTAAACCCTTGCGTCTGACAGCAGGAGTTCATATCACATTACCACAGATTGGCAAACCCACATGCACTGCCTTGTACAGGCAGACGTACACACATACACAATACACACACATACTCTCACACACACACTTGTACACATACACATGCACACACAAATACAACATACATACAAATATATATGCACACATATCTTGGAAATTTCAAACATGATAACAGAAATAAACTAATAAAATGGTTGGGAAATTTTTTAAATCTTATAAAAAATAAAACAAGATGAAAAAGTGATAGAATAATACATAAGAAAATTGGAGAGTCAGTCTAGGAATCCAACATATGAGGAATAGAGGTTCCTTAAAAGAGACAATGAAGAAAGAGGGAGTGGAGCAAGTTATCAAGAAAATTAATAATACAAGAAAATATCCCCAATGTGAAGGTTATGGGTTTCCAGAATGAATGGTCCCGTCAGGTACCAAGCCAATGAAAGCAAAGAGGTCTATATCAGCACACATCTTTTCAGGCCACTAAAAGAAAGAGAAGTTAAAAATATTGTTGAGCGAAAAAAAGAAATGACACGACTTTTCAACATCAACGATGGAAACTAAAAGACAATGAAGCAACTGCTTAATAATTCTGAGAGAAACGTTTCTAAACCTAGGATTATATATCCAAACTACCAATCACATGGGAGGGTATACCACATCTATCGTTTCTGGTTTTCAAGACCTCAAAAACGGATGTGCTCCCAAAACAATGCAAAGAAGAATACAGGGTATCCAAGAACTAGAGGTCCGACACACGATAGGAAAAGGTTGAAAGGAAGTGCCAAGAAGATGACTAGCAGAAATCACTCCCAAACATTTTAGAATTGGGCAGTGGCAGAGGTGAGGTGCTTATCTGTGAGAGAGGGCTCAGGGGAAAAAAGGGAAACATATACATTAGTTGACATATTTAAATGCATTGGGAGGAGATTTACAATGCAGACAGGAAGCTTAGGGATAACCTAAAAATCTAGACAAAGGGGGAAAAGGCAAGTATTAAATTCTACTGAAAAAGTTGTACGAGAAAAAAAATCATGTTTGGTCATAACAAACAGTCACAATAATCTAAATACTAAACTGTGATGTATCCCAAACCATGTAACTATTGGCACAGGGGAGGGACACATGTGTTTGTGTTAGCACGTTGTTTGGAACATGGAAGGAAAAGTAGAAGAAACAGGTAAAGAACAGTTAGTCTTTGCCTGGGGAGAGTGGGAATTGAGGTTGAAAGTGTCCCCCCCAGTCTCCCTACCCACCTATAGCTCTCCTTTAATGCCCTGTTTGGTAGCTTCTTCTTTATAAAGCCTCCTTGTTACTTCTTTCCTTCCTATCCACTCTCGGCACGTGACCCTTGAAACAGTCACTTCTTCCCTTTTGTCTCCAACAGTCTGCACATACATATACTGAGATGTAACAATATGGTTATCTGTTTGCTTGCCTGTCTCTCCAACTACCAGAGGTTTTGGGCCTTCTTGTGCCATACAGCCCTGTGGATTGTGGTGAAGTCTGTAAGTATCTTCTCAGAATAATATTTTTATGAACATAAAATACAAGAAATCACAAAAGAAATCAATTATATTAAAAAGAAGTTATCCACATATTTTAGAAAAACAGATTTTGATCATTAAAGATCAGGTTCCCCAGGAAATATACACCGATATAACATAGATTTTAAAATGCTGTCTTGATCCAGTTTGGTCAGTTCCCTTTTTTGAGCAGCTAGGTCCACACTCGCCAACCACCTCCCTTGCTGGGCTCTCATTCTCTGAGCCACTATCCGCTGTACACCTGCTCCAGAGCCTGCCTCACCTGTTCCTTCCCCCTGACCCCCTGGCTCACGAAGGACTCCAGCACTTCTGCATGTGGCACCCCACCATGTGATGTATAACCCCCCTCTTGGGATCTGTGAGTATAATAAACTTTTTAAAGATTTTATTTATTTATTTGAGACAGAGAGAATGAGAGACAGAGAGCATGAGAGGGAGGAGGGTCAGAGGGAGAAGCAGACTCCCCGCCGAGCAGGGAGCCCGATGCGGGACTCGATCCCGGGACTCCAGGATCACGACCTGAGCCGAAGGCAGTCGCTTAACCAACTGAGCCACCCAGGCGCCCCTAAACTTTTTATTCAATGGTAGCTGTTTCCTGATCTGATCAACTTCACCAAATCTAAATAATAATCAACAATTAAACTTAATAAAATGGCTGAGACTCCAAGCAGTGTGCATTGGAGTGCTCTCATGAACAGCAATGAGAGAGCGACGGGAAGTCTGGGCAAAGGGAGAAGTTGAACTGTGATGCAGTCACAGTGGAAGCCTCAGCCACTGACACTGGGATGGCCCTTCTGAGGTGACCTCCTTGAGGTGAGAGCCTGGGGTTTATGTCCCCTTGCAGAGGCCACTTGGAGGCAGCAGCCTGTCCCCAGGGAGGGGGTGTGATTTTGCCTGAGGCAGTTCTCTTTGGCAGAGGGCAATTCCTGGAGAGAGACTCAGCCCAGGGGTGTCAGCAGCTAACAGCCCCCAGCACCCTGGAGATGGCCGGCCGGGCCCTGAAGGGCCACCTGGGCATGCTTCACAGTTCCACCAGTGATACAGAAAGGCATATGCTTCTTTGTAACACTCTTAAGTAACAGGATAAAATTATCTTAATTTCAAAGTAGTGATGAATAGTATTTTAAGACAGAAACAACCATCATTTGTGACAATTTCTGGGGTTTCTATTAGTGCCACATACTGCTGACACTACTAGGATTTGTTGCCTGCATTCCTGGTGGAAAAAATACTAAATTTCTGTTAGAGGTAAGTGAAAATACAGACCTTCAAGTCCACACACCCAGCTAAGAAGGCCTTGGGAGCCGGAACCTTGATTTGTTCATTTTGGGATCTCCAGAGTCGGCCGCAGTTCTGGACACCTGCTGATGTTTTTGAGTCATTACTATAATTAAAACTGATGAGATACAATTTAAGAGATAGGAACTTTAAAACTAACACCTGTAAAGCAACCCTTCTGCGTTTTAAAGGAGCTACAGTACAGAGCCTCGTTCTATGGAAGTCTCTGGCTCAGCCTAAACTCTCCCTGCCCGCGCCGGCATGGAGGGGCGGGGCCGGGGGAACCGGCGCTCGCACTTATAGGTCGAGGCGGGAGGGGGCGGGCCCGCTTCTTCGGGCTCGACGGAAGCCCTACCTCTTCAGCCCGCGCCCCGCCTCCTGCGCTCCCGGAAGTCCCGCCTTCGGAAAAGGAAGTAGCGGTGCGCTAGGGCGCCCGCGGTGACCGCGACGATAGCGGTGACCGAAGGAGGAGAAGGCGGCCGCGGGTTGGCGGTTAGAGGCGGGGCCGGCTCTTCGGAGCGGCTTGGGACAGGAGTCAGGTGCGGAGTAGCAGGCTGGCTGAGGCCGGTGGGTTTTGGGGTCCCGGGACTGGAGCAGGTGGGACGCGGAGGGGCCGTATGAAGACGACTTTGGCCGCGTTCCCCTCTCGGAGGTCCTTTCCTTCCCTCCTTCCTTCCTCGAATCTCTTTTCTGCGCTGTACCCTGCCCTGATTCCCAATCCTTTTCTAAGCCCGGCTGTGGGGGTTTAGTCTGGACTCCCCTCTGGGTCACCACGTTTAGGGCTCCCTGTTACCCAGACCTACACTCCCTCTCCGTGACATAGTTTCTCAGGGACCCCCTTCACCTCACCCCCAAAATCCGCACATCTTAGAAACGTGCCCCTAAAGGGTGGCGTGGTGTACATTTCACAGTAGTGTTTCCCAAAGGGGTTAATACATTAAAGCTGTCCCTCGAAGTGGATATCCTGCCCTGTAGATTTACATCAGAATGACAAGGAGGAAGAACAAGGGTTGGGCATATTAAGAAGACCAAGGGAGTGGTCGGAGTCCAGGCATAGGCATTAATCTGTCTTTTTGCTTTGGCACGTTTGAGTTTAGAATTGTTTGCATTCAGCTCGGCGGTTCCAACCATGGGTTTGTCTGCATCTACCCCTGCTGTTGCTGTTCAGACCTCAGATGCTTCAGATCATCAGACAGCATCCCCGCCTTCAGGATGTCCCATTCATGAAGGGAAAATGAAAGGTAATTGACCCTTTGTCTAGAAAATAAAAACAAAAGAGAATTCTCAAAAGGATTTTGAGGAAGAGGCAGCATAACACGCTAGTGGGGCAAAGTGAGTTCTGTCCTTATGGTGCTACTTACAAGGTATGTGACTGTAGACAAGTTACTTTTCTAAGTCGCAACCTGTCATCTGAAAGATGAGGATATAATATTTCACAGGGCTATTGTGACAATTAAGATAGTGCATGAGAGTGGAGTGATGGCTCCATACATTAGCCCTTTCCCCTCAAAGTTTGCAGTTAGCGTTTCTCAACCTGGGTGGCCACCCCCGTTCCTCCTCCGGGGGGGGGGGGTAACATTTAGCAATGTCTGGAAACATTTTTGTTGGTCAAAACTGAGAGGAGGTGTTGCATCCAGTGAGTAGAAGCCAGGAGTTCTGGTAAACATCCTGCAGTGCACAGTACACCTGTGCAACAAAAAATCTCCTGGCCCCAAATGTCAAGAGTGCTAAGGTTGAGAAACCTTGGTCTAGAACGGTCTTTATCTGTCAAGGCAACTTTACATCTGTTGCATTATTCATCTTTGTAAAAGTAAGTCATCGCTTATGGCCTTGCTGTTCTTTCCTTGGGTGCAGAGGTGAGAATGGATGGTCCACGTTTGCTTTAGATTGTTTATATAAAAGTATGACCTGAAAAACACTTCCTTGCATTGTACTCTTTGATTCCCTTGGTCATTCAGCAAGAATTTACTCACTGCCCAGTCTGTGCCAAGCACTGGTGGGTTTTGTTTTTTCGCTGAGAGAAGAGCAACGTATAGAACAAAAAATCCTTTACCTGATGGAGTATACATTCTCATCCTCGTAATCCTGTGTGGTAGGTTTTCTCCCTATTTTTTATTCAGGAAACTTAAAAGCCACACAGCTAATAAGTGGCAAAGCCAGCAAAAACTCTGTGACCTTGGACAAGGACAGACCCAGTGCTCTTCCAGGGTTTCTCTGTACGGGAAGAATGGAGACAGTTGGACAGAGCTGATGTGTTCCTACTCTGAGTGTCCCCAGGTAGATCATAGAGCCCTGAATATGGTTTGATTTCATTTACTGTGTATCCAGAAGAGTCGTCAGTCAGATTTGTTTGCATAAGTAAAGAATGTGGATATTTGTAGGCGACTAAAGGGGCTCCTGGTTATATGGGAAATATAACAGTATTTCCTCACACCCATCTGGGATCAGTGACCCAGGAGAGATTGGCACTCTGAATGGGAGCGGAAAGGTGGTAGAGCAAGTCTCCCTTCACCCCTCAAGTGGACAGCTGTAAAGGGTCCTAGGGAATGAGGGTCTGCGAGGAGAAACGGGGGAAAGGAAGTGAAAGGAAACTTGTCTTTGGTGTGTCAGGCATCCAGCATATTCTTGGTGTTACTGCTGCTGCCTGACACAAGGATCCCGTACTTGGGCAGCTGTCTTCCTGGGCCATGGCTCTCCCCGTGCCTGCCCCCTCTCTGCAGTGTAAGACCAGCTTCTCAATCTCCACACTCGCTTCCAGTAGCACCCTGGATTCTTGGACATCACCTGCCCCTTCTGCTGCTGCTCTTGTAGGTTCAGACCTTCCCTCTTGAGTGGCATCTGGATCCTATGTGGACTATGGAACATTTTCTTTAATATGTGCCTTTTCTTGCTAAATGCTTGCTATCAACTAATGGGGAATAGAACCCCATCAGGGGGTAGTTTTCTGTGCCTTGTTTCTGTCCTGGAGCAAAGCACAAGCAGAGGGGCATTCAGACTTTTCTCCAGGAGCCTTTTTGAAGGCTCCTCTGCTCATTTCCATCTTCTGTCTCCAGTACCTGAGAGAAGGCGTCAGTAAGCCTGGCATCCTGTGTCCTGATCAGGGCTGGGCCTTGTCTGGAATCTGAATTGAAAGTCAGGGAGACCCGGTTAAAACATGGCTGGGCCTCTGCTTAGGTTCCTCTGCTACAACTCGCTGCTGGGAACCCACGCAGGTACCTACTAGCCCATCTCTAAAACCATGGAATGCACAATATATTCTTTTGCAAATGTTGAGATTTTGTTTGCTTGTTTGTTTTTGCTGGGGGCATGACACAGTAAGGGAATGGGTACCCATTTCTCTTTCAAGGGGAAAGTAAATTTGTAGAACCTTCTCCTGGTGTATAGGATATTACAATGTTAGCTAGCCTAGCTCTTGGCAGCTTGGAACCATAGAAACCTGGCTTTGCCTTTGATGGTGATCACTGGTCAGAAATCCAGCTCTTTCGGGCCGGGATTGAGAGAGCCAGATGTCCTGCCTTTGTGGTGACACTTTTTTACTTGATTTATTTCAGGTTGTCCCGTGAGCACAGAGCCATCTAACCCAACTTGTGAGAACAAAATGAACTCCGTGCCCGCCCACCAAGATCGTGCGTATGAGTACGTGGAATGTCCTGTTACGGGCGCTGTGGCTGAGAATAAGGAGAACCTAGATCCTTCTAATCTGGTAATTCACACCTGGCCTCTCTTCCTGGAACATTTTCTGCTGAGATGCTTTCATGAACTCCCAAGACAGACTGCTGACTGCTAGGATTAATTCTCCTTTCCTTTTAAAATAAAAAAGTCTGATATTCCATAGACATTGAAAATCCTGAATGCATCACTAATTGTAGTTTCAGAGAGTGCCTGATAAAAAGGGAACACTGATCTTGAAGTGCCAGAGTAGGCTGACTGGAAAGAAGCCACACCAAAGGAATATTTCCTTTAGAGATAGTGGAAGGCGGGAAATCCCATTAGGAGTGCAGCTAGAATTGGTAAAGGTATTTCTGGTCTTGGGACACCTCATAGGCATGATGCCTGATTAGGGCTCTGTTTTCCAGCACAGCCGGGTACCAGCCTGTGTGAGTCGCTGGTGTGGTACAGCATCATGTGGCGGCCACCAGTGGGATGCCACTGAGAAAGCAAGGACAAGACAAGCATGGCCTCACCACATTTTGTTATAGTGTAGGAAATGGAGGTTTCCTGTTTGAAATCACATTTTAATGGAGAGACGGACAGACTCAGATCTGTACTCTGGAAGGCCAGAATAGGCTTCTTAGAAGGCCAGGGTTATCAGAAGTATTTAGAAACACTGGCTAACATTTGAAGGAACTAGAAATATTTAGTCTGGAAGCGAAGGGGTGTGTGTGGGCTGTGTGTGTGTGTGTGTATGTGTATGTTATATAACATAACATAACATAACAGTACCATCAACTGGGTGGTTTGTAAACAGCAGACATTTCTTTCTCAAAGTTCCAGAGGCTGAGCAGTCCTACTGGAAGGTGCTGGCAGATTCAGTAAATTTGGAGGGACACAAACATTCAGCCTCAACACTCAGTAATGACCCTGCCAAGCTATAAGGAGACTGGTGTGTTGAGGAAGAAGGTGGACAAGATCAGGGCAGCACCATTGACGTCTGAGGCCGGACAGTTCCTTGCAGTAGGGCACTGTCCTGTGCTTTGTAGGATATTAGCAGCATCCCTGGTCTTCACCTGCCAAATGCCAGGAGCACCCTCTTTTCTCAGTCACGACAACCTAATGTGTCTCCAGATATTTCTAAAAGTGCCCCCGTAAGACTACTGTTCTAGATAATCTCTAATAGCCTAGTGGGTCAGAACATGGGCCTTTTGGAACCCCACAGACCTAGACTCTTACCCATGGGATGGTTACCTGTAGCAAGAATATTAATAACAGCCAGCATTTCTTCTGGTGACCTCTGTAGCCCTTGTGCTAAGCACCATACACACCCTCCAGGAACCCTCGTCCCCATCTTTAGAGCTGAAGCCACCGAGAACGGGCGAGCATGCAGTTTGCCCCACATCACTCAGCTAGGAAGCAGCAGGTCCCAAACTGAATCCCAGCTCCCTCTGACATGCGTCCTTCAGCCCCCTGTGGTGACGATGCAGGTAAAATGCTCGGTGTGGTGCCTGGCATACCCGGTTCTCCCGCTGCCGTCATTCTGGCCAGGGGGGCCATATCGTGACTTAGTGATAAATGTGC